CAACAGTATGCAACAATGCAACATATGGCGTTGCCGACACCACTGCGCATCCGCGCTCGACCACTTCCTTTGACAACGGCGTTTGGGCGGCAAACGGACGGTAATTTTGATTTGACACTTGTTTTTGTGTTTTTGAGGGGCGTTTGGGAGAAATCGTTCTTATGAATATTTTGTGATATCTCCTATACCTTTGTTTGCTGAAAGAAGAACTCCTGGCTCCGGAATAACACCTTATTTGGCCCTTCATTCAGCATGATGCCGTCCCTCCAGCTCGTTTGACATGTGCTTTACGGCGCGTGCGAGATGGCGGGAGCGGATGGGGTCAATTGAAACGCTTCTCTGAGGGTCAGTTGAAACAGGGCCACAGGCCGTTTCAATGGACCCCGGTGACCTTTGCAATGGTTATTGTTCAGGGGCTGTAAACATTAAAGGAAATAGTCCACCTTTGAAATGAGCTTTTAAACTGAAATAGTAGTTTAATAGAGCTCAATTTTTTACCCCTTTTTCTCCAGCCTTTTGCTTGAAAGCACACTATAGCCTGAGATATTTTTCATTTTTCTCATCCGCCCATTTTACCATAGTCTAGGTACTTTATGTCACCTATTATGAGGAACTTTGCACTTTTAGCTTTCCAACGACCTATTGAATGTAGCATTTGGAAAAGTAAACCGGACAAAATATCTCCTTAAGAAAGTGGCCTTAAAGAGGAAAACAGCCCATTGTTAAGGATAGGTGCAATTGACCCCATGGGCTGGTTCAATTGACCCTCGCATCGGGGTCATTTGAAACGGGCGTAGAGCTGTTTTATAAGCATGCGTTTGGCGGCAAAATATGTTTGAAACATAATTTTACATATCTTAAAATAAAGCCAAAAGAGCATATTTTTTCATGGCATTGTGCATTTTTCGATATGACAACTAGATCTCGCTGTGCATGTCAATATATAAAAAGTGGTTCAACTGGCCCCGCTCTCCCCTATTTTACTGACATTTTGTGCAGGTCATGGAAACAGGGGCTTGACTTATTAAAAAGGTTTTTATTCCATTGTTTTATTTATTAGCTGTTTAATTTAAGCATGATTTATTCTTGCTATTTCATTTGATTTTTTTCAATTGTGGTTTGAAGAATTAATATATTTGAAAGATATGACCCAAATATGACCTTATCAAGGTCGCAAATCAAAGGTCACCTTGAATTTGTTCCTATTCCAAGGCCATTCAAAAATTGAAATTGGAGGTCGGAGAAGATTTTTCAACTGTCGTGTTCAAATAAAAACATGTTTTATTTTCTTCTATTTTTTTTTTGTAAAATAAAAAAAATGCTTCATATAAGCGTAGATTTGTGTAGCAATTTCAGGAAATCTGTCGTGAAACACTATTTGAAATTTGATTAATAAAGGTACTTGAATTGGCGCGAATTCAAATTCGATGTCAGGGTCGCGCCCTGACCTCTTACCAGTCAATGTCAGTGCGCAGTGGCGGTTACAGGCACGTTGAGAGCGAAGGTAAGTCTAGTACACTCATATCCGGTCAAGTTTTGTATACGTTTGATGATTGGTGCTTCACTTGATTTGCTTTGGAGAAGACACTTAAAAAGTTCCCTTTATTCTACCATCAATTTTTTGCCAAGTTCAAATAACTTATTTTTACAGCATTGCAATTTGTCAGTACCTACGAGCTGTTTTTTTAACCGATTTCCAGTCATTTTCGTGGGATACAATACTCATAAGTCTTCCTAGTTCCTTGAGATAAGTGTAAATGCAATTGACGGTCTCAAAACAATTTTTGTCACGTTTTTATTTAAAAATATACAATTACCGCGTGCATTCAGCCGAATTTCTAGCGTACGACTTCATTTCTTCGTTTCTTATTCTTATGTGCCTAAACAGCTTGTAAAAGGTTATTTTCGGCTTGCCCCAGGTGCAACACGCTGGCGAGCTGCAGCAGTTATGGCAGAGTCAGTTCCTGCAACTAGAGAAGACATCAAGCTTCTTGAACGTCTGGTTAACTCGGAAAGCGGTAGGATTTCCTTTGCAGCAGGCGTTTCGGGTCCCTCTTGCAACAGCACGTTGTGGCGACGTTTCGCACGAGTACGTTTGGACGGGAGAGTTTGTCAGGCCTTTAAATGTAAGAGCTGTGGGATCGTGTTGCCACATAGGACTGGGTCCGCGTACGACGATAGCTTTGGGAGGTCGTCGGGCACCTCTAACCTTAAGAAGCACTCTTGTCCTGTGAACCAAAGTCAGCCGCAGATAACCTCTCTTTTGAGAAAGGAGGTACCGGAGGGCTTACTGCGAGCTGAAAAGAAGCGAGTGGCGACGGCTTTAAGCGACGTCAGCTCTGAAGACCTCCGACCTTTCAACCTGGTAGAAGGTAGGTAGGGTAGGATCCACCTGCAGATTATTTCTGAAATCAGTGCCATTTCTTCTGGGACACATTTTTGGTTCTTTGTTAATAAATAGGTACCGGCGCATCTAGAAAGGATTTGTGATTAAATTACTGGATGCAGACGCGTCTCTTGCTGTATCGAAGGATGACTAATTAAAAAAGATTTAATTCGCCTATTCAAACAAGGCTCAACTGTAAGACAGTATTGTGCTGTGATACAACTTGGTAACATATTTACTCACTTCATCATGAGGTAGCATGCAATTAGTTTCCAGTTTAGAGTAACGGCTAAGTTGATGTAGCGAAAGAAATGCTGCAATCAACTTCGTTAGTCGCTGTGTGCCATTTTACCAACTCATTTGTAATATTTTGCTTGTTTTTGGGTTTTCGCAGGTCGAGGGTTCCGGAAGGCTGCTCAGCTCCTGGTAGACCTGGGCGCCAAGCACGGTCGCATTGATGTCGACCACGTGCTCCCTGGGCGAAACACTGTCGCCAAGGAGACGGAGCAACGAACGGTCGTCGTCCGTGCCCGGCTGAGGGTTGAGGTCTCCGAGCAGCCGCACATCGCCGCCAGTACCGACCTCTGGACTGACGAGAAGACGTCCACCTCCTACAACACCATCAACGGCGGGACGGCGAGCACATCAAGTTCGTCACGGACAACGCGGCCAATAATCGACTCGCCTTCCAGGGAAAGGGACGAGGGTGGCAGAGCTGTTTCTGTCATAACCTCAATCTGGTCATCCAAGACGCCGTCAACGCAACAGCCGGGGTAGCTGAACTCGTCGATACCTGCAAGAAGCTCGTCAGACTGGCCAAGAAGACGAACATCAACAGCTTGCTGAAGGCCGCGGATCCCCTCGGTCGCGGACTCAAAGCCGCCGTCCCCACGCGGTGGAACTCCGAGTGGGTGATGCTGGACTCGATCCTACACGCGCACTCCTCGCTTACCTCACTGGACGGAGTGGCCGACCGGGAGAGCATTATCAGCCTCATGGACCAGCTCGAGAAAACCGACCTCACCGGAGTGGTTGACGTCCTGCGCTTTTTTAACGAGGCTAGCAAGCAGCTGTCGGCATCAAAACATCCAGCATTTCTGGACTGGTGCTTGCGCACGCGCAGCGGCACCTGGGCCCAATCTTACCAATGACGTGAATGCAGATGCCGTGGATGCCTACAACGGCGGCTGATCCACGGCACTCCATTTACCCAATCTCACCAATGCCGTGCCGCGGCATTTCTATTCACGGCATTTTGCCCACGGTACAATTCAGCGCCAGCAGAAAACACGCAACGTGGTTGGTCAATTCTTGTCACCTTCGCTATCGGAAATTGAGCGTATTGCTTGTGAACAAGTATAGCTCTCTACTAGGGTTACCCGCGTGCTCCGCAACGCGAAGAAGGGTTATTTGTGACCCGTGGGTATTGGGTTGGTCTGTGTCGATTTGGTTGGTATCCATTTCGTTCGAATGCTTTTTGATGGCCAAAACAAAAAAAGATGCATCGCATCGAGGTGCCCGTGTCGTATTATCATGCGTTCTACTTTAGAATGATTCGAAAACTGGCGTGAAGTCTTTTGAGGGCCATCGATGAATTTCGCTAAAAATGACAATGTAATGGTTTGGAACATTTACATTTTTAAGGATACTGTTGCTAATCATGCAAAAATGAAGAGTGAATATTGGACAGAATTGAATGCTCTATCCAATGGTACCATATTCAATTGCCAAAGGTATCAGGTTATGCAGCAAACCCCGTGTGATTAACAAAGTGGCACAAAATTGACAAACACCATTTTCTCCTGTGATTTGCACCACCTTGATTTGGATCAATCAGCTTTTCACAATTTTTATATGAGAGGCGGTACCTTTCTCTTGCAAATAGGCGTTGATTCAACTCGCTCCATTTAACGGTCACCTAAAAACAAAATTAATTCCAAAATCCCTCAAAAACCGCAATTTTTCAAATAAAAGTGCCCTCTCTGGTGCACGTGGCGCGTGCTATCCTCTGCATTGCACACCATTCAATAGCCCGTTAAATTCTGTACACGATGCTGTTTTCCCCGTGCCGGTCGGACCCCTGGTCACCAAGATATTGCACGGGAACTGGACCCGTGTCGGCCAAAATTAGCCGTTTTCGCCCGATTTCGCACGCCGATTTATACATGTAAAGTCTATGACGCGAATTTGCACTTTTTGAGCACGCGCCACGCGCTCCCTATCAATCCGATCGAGCTGAGACCCCTCAAAGGCACGTCGCGCATCCTTGATCTATAAGTTGTGCAAATTTCACCGGGCTAGGTGCAACGGTCTGGCCTGTAGTCCACGCAAAGCAGCACCAAGTCGGGACCTCGGTAACGGACAGACGCACCCTCCTCAAATAGTAATATAGATTTAAAGTTTTGTCGGGCGTTTATTTGTTTTAGAGCCATACATATGTGTGAAGGATAAGTTATTTGTGGAAACCGTGATAGCAAACTATGAAAAACTAAAGCCTGCCTAAAGAATTCTCCTGAAAAGCGGATTACTGGCCTAGTAAACTTCCCCGAGGACATTCTCGCGCTGAAAAAATCGAGTGGATTAGTTTTCAACTTCGTTTCGCTCAGGGGGGGTTCATCGCCATAGGGACACACGTACAAGGAAATTGCTACCAAATGCTGCCAATGTGACGTCACTGGGATGCTCGAAAGCTGATTGGTCGCTGAGATTCGAGTAATGTAGTCAATTCTGGCGCACCGGCGCAGTGTTTTCCGACCGTTGCGTGTTATTACTTTGGTTGCTATGCAAAGTTTGAATATGTTTGTTTAATAATATAAACACATTTTCATGTGTTTGAAGGTCGCAAAAGCTTAACATAAGTGGCAACCACACTTTGTATTACGTTTCGTCTCATATATCATGAAGAACAACCCAGTATTTCAAGGTGGGAACATCCTGAGGAACCTCAACCAAGGCATTCATTTTGCAACGGATCTTAACATAATCTGGCGTTTTTTAAAGTTTCCATTTTTGCAATTAAGCTGGTAGGTAATAATTTTTCAGTGCTCGCAGTGCGCATAAGTACCTTGACCTAACATGATACACTCAACAAATAAAATGTTTAGAGAAAGCACGCCAGTTGGGCAAACTAGACCTTTGGAATCAAAATATGGAGGCATCAAAAGATTGATTCCTTATGACCATATTTGGGCATAAATGCAGACCATTTCTAACTTACCAAACACATAAAAATAAGAGAGTGTTTCAAGAAGGAGCATGCCTGACCTTGAACAGAAATGCTGGACGTATCTCCTAAGCAAAATAATATTGCTCCTATCATGACAATTTGAATTCTATAGGTAGTGAAAGGCAATCAAGGAATTGATTCACTTTAAACAGATAATCATAATATTGATTCCCCATCAGCTGGCTAATCATTATTTTGATTCACAGGTAATGTTAACAGATAGGCAACAATTACTTGGAAGAATACAGCATTTATCTTGCTATTATTCTCATTTAGTGGTATCCTCAGTACCACAACAGATGCCTATAGGCTATAGCACTGTTGTACTTTACCTTCACTACATTTGATAACAATTCACAATTTTTAAATGTCAAGAATACAAAAACTGAAGCAACAGGTAAAAACCATATAATAAATATAAAAGCACTACAACAATGATAATTAGGGGTTTGAAAATTTCATTTTGCCATTTTACACAAATACTTATTGTTTAGTATGCAATTCATGATACAAAAATAACATACACTGTGATTTCCTCAAAACAGCTTTTACGTGATGGACAGTGCCTCTGTCTTTTTCCCATTCACAAGGCCAAAGGGACAATTTCTTGGTTTTGAGGTAACACTTTTTGCAAACCTACCACATTTTTCTACCTTTTTAAAGAAAAATCTCACCGTCATGGGCCTTTTTTCAACCGTAACGATACATTTGAAGTCAAAAGTGTACCCAAATGAATCAAAAAATTGATTCTTTGCCCATATTTGGTCATGGCTCCTCCCACCAGAATCAAATTATTGATGCCTCCATATTTTGATTCCAAAAGTCTAGTTTGCCCAACTGACGCAATGTAAACAAACTACATAGTGCTACAATGGCAAATTGAAATATAAATGAGCTCTTTAGGTACTTTTTATCATTAAAATTTAAATTGTATATAGTATGGTCACATACTGTGGGCTGGGTTCATCTCAGTCACGTTGCAATGTTATCAGAGCTGTAAAAATGAAAACAAATGTTTTTGCATGGTATTATTGTTTATTTTCAAATTGGTCACTAAAGTTATTTCATGGGTAGGTGCTAACTGCTTAATCTTATTCAAATTTATTTATTAGTTGCTTGTACTGTCAGCATGATGTTAGCCAAATTTGTTTGTGCTGAGAGTTTTCTGTTTACAGGAAAGCTGAGGCGAGGGCGAGTAGGTCCCTGAGGAGGACCATGCAAAGGAGGTCAAGGAGATTCTGGGGGCAACCTGCGAGCAACCTCTAGACCATCCAGCAGGGACCTCTGACAAGTAAGTCTAATGGTTTATGTTTTCACTCACATTAAAAGTGCTCACAAATATCCATCAGTGTTAGAAATCCTGGCCCGTCTTGAGCGACACCATTTTAATTCCCATTGGTAAAATGCATCAAAACATTCTTTTTGCCATAAGTAATGGTAACTTTTTGTCGGCATAAGGCTGCCACTCAATCCAATAAGGTGATGTCTCAAGTCACATCCACTAAATGTTCTGATAATGACCTATGCTGGTCCTAACTAGTGCTTAGAAAAAAACTGAGTTGTTTCAGTCTTGGTTGATGTTTGAACAATTTTATACTGTGTTTTTTTTTTCTTCTGAAAAAGTGCCATGCTAATCACGAGCGAATTCGGGGGGCAGTCGCCAAACGAGGCTTAACCCTCGCCGGCACAGGGGGGGGGGTGATGCAACCCCCCCCCCCCCTAGGGTTTTTCGCGAATAACTCGCGTAAAAAGCGGCCGATCGCGACGAAACTTTCAGTACCCTCGCATTGACCAATTTTACACCTACCCTGAAAATTTCATGACCCTGACCCCAATGACCTTTGACCTGTGACCTCTTTTCCGAGACCATGTTTGGCCGGAATCGCGATTCGGCGTATGTCGGCTAACATTAGCCGCGCGTTTGCAAGCTTTTTGTGGTTTCAAACGTTCAAACATGTGATTTGATGTCGCTCCCATACATTAGGGTGGGTGTCAAGGTCACCTGATGGTCAGATCAGGTCATTGACCTTTGGTGACCTCGGGCGACCTCGGTTCACTTTTTCGAGTTTTACATGTTTCTAGGCTAGTTTTTTTTTTAGCTGAATTCGAATTTAGCAACCATTTGAACATTTACGAAGTAGTTTTGGTGTCTTCGTAACATGTTACGAAGCTGTCAGAGGCGGTTGACACGTATTACGAATACCCGTCACAACCCCTACCGGTTGACCTGACCTGACCTGACCCGACCTGGTCTAAATGCTTAAAGACATCATCTCTGATCAAAACTAACACGATATTCGTGATCAGCACCCCGGAAAACCACATAGCAGCCACAATTTACGTCTTTCTAACAGGTCCCGATTTTCCCGGTTTTCGGGTCATTGACCTGACCTGGAAGGTCACCCGATGACCTAGGACCTTAAAATTGGGTATCATCGGCTTCGTCTCGTGACGGGCAACACGCTCGTTTTTTCCGCGAAGCTCTAGCTCGATCAGGGGCCAAACGCGAGGGGGGGGGGGTCGTACCAACCCCACCCCCCTTGTGCCGTCGAAGGACGCAAAATGGCCTGTGCCGGCGAGGGTTAATAGTAACGGGAAAATGGATTAATGCAAAGCCAAAGGGCATGCATTTTTCGTTGTCCGCGAAATCTGTCACTTTCAGTGCGTAGACTAGGCTCATTACGGAGCGAGCGAAGCGAGCGGAGTCTTACGTAGAATAACGGAAATTTCTGAGTATGAGCGGCCGGCCGGCCGGCCGTGGTCACGCTTTTGCGAGGCTTATATCTCAGCAACCACTTGACCGATTTACATGCGGTAAATTTTGTAGGGTAGCTTCATTCCTTCTACCAAGTATTGGACCATTCCCGATGCATGTGGGTGACCCCTTATGCACGTGCCACGTGCAAAACGAAGAGGTGTTCGTTTTGTAATTGTTGCAATATCTCGGTAACTACTTGGCCGATTGCGCTGAAAGTTGGCATGTAGGTAGGCACCCACTAGGCACTGCATATCCATGTGCCAGAGTTGGGGTGCTGCTGCACGTGCGCACGTGCAGGGGTCGTTTCCAGATCTCGAGAACGGCTGGACCGATTGCGCTCAAATTTGGTACACAGTTAGGGACCGGTTAGTAGGGTGCCGTGCACAAGTCAGTTGGGACCCATTTTGCACGTGCGCACGTGCAGGGTGCCGCTTCCAGATCTCGAGAACGGCTGGGCCGATTGTGCTCAAATTTGGCACATCGCTAGAAACCGGTCAGTAGGGTGCCGTGCACAAGTCAGTTGGAGGTACCCCCTCGAAATTTCGCACGTGCAAGACTCACCCCCTCGCTCGCTCCGTTAGTCGCCCCAAAAGGCGCTATACTGGTTTAAGTGTTAACGTTTTTTCTTTTGTTGCACAATATTTAATTGTCAATGTCTTTCAAGTGATGTAGCGTAATACTGCTTTCACAGTGCCGCCGCCGGTGTCGACGCTGGCAGCCATGGCCGGCGCCGAGCTGACGAGTTCCAACCTGGAAGCTCAGCGCGAGGGGCTGGCATTTGTTGCCGGCTTCGTGGCATACAAGTGTCACCACATCGACGCCACCCTCGGTAGCCGGTCTCCTGACTTCTCGGGCGCCGCTGGAGACACTGAACACCCTGCCGAACAGCTGAATTGTGACGCTCAGCCGAGGCAAGCTGTTTGTTCTGTCACAAGTCTGGATGGCCGCTGTGGAGGAGTTCGAGCGGAACTTCTGCCTGCTGATGGGGGCAAGTGCAGATCAGGGGCCGCGAGTCATATAGCGTCTCAAGCTGTTCATTGCCGTCAAGCAGCCTCAGCTCGGCACTCGCGTGTCCAGGAAGTTGGTGAGCACCCGTCTCCACCTCCCCCTTCGGTCCCTTAGCCTGACTGGACGAGGTCCGGCAGCTGAAAAGAGCCGATAGAAAAGTTGGCGATCATGCAAGGAGCTCTAGGTGAGCTGGTAAACCGGCTCGTGTAGCGACTACGAGTCGGCGTGGTGCTGTGTGACTCGGTGTGGTGCGGCCGGCTCTGTGTGGGTGCTGTGCGACTCGGCATGGTGCCTCCGGCTGTGTGTAACGGCTTTGCGACTCGATGTGGTACGGCCGGCTCTATTGGTGCTGTGCAACTCGGCATGGTGCCTCCGGCTGTGTGTACCGGCTGTGCGACTCGGTGTGGTACGGCCGGCTCTGTGTAACGGCTGTGCGACTCGGTGTGGTACGGCCAGATCTGTTGGTGCTGTGCAACTCGGCGTGGTGCCTCCGGCTGTGTATAACGGCTGTGCGACTCGGTGTGGCACGACCAGATCTGTTGGTGCTGTGCAACTCGGCGTGGTGCCTCCGGCTGTGTGTAACGGCTGTGCGACTCGGTGTGGCACGGCCAGATCTGTTGGTGCTGTGTGACTCGGCATGGTGCCTCCGGCTGTGTGTAACGGCTGTGCGACTCACTGTGCGACTCGGCATTGGGTAACGGCTGTGCGTCTCGATATTGTACCACCAGCTGTGAGTAACGGCCACCCGTAAGCGAAACTTATAATATTTAGTGAAAATGTTTATTCGATTTTTCTCAGCAATGCAACTTAAGTGCATCCGTCCTGAGCGCCCTAGCAGGGCAGCGGAGCCGATGTAATTTCGGTGACTACTGACTCCTGACTTCTAGTTCCAAAAACTAATTACGACTCCTCAGGGCTGCGGAGTCGGAGTCGGAGTCGGAGTCGGTCGGAGTCGACAGTTGTGACCGGAGTCGGAGTCGGAGTCGATTTTAGAAACCCGAGCCGGAGTCGGAGTCGGAGTCACCGAAAATCTGTCGACTTCGCAGCCCTGCTAGGTCTGCGGAGTCGGAGTCGGTCGGAGCCGACAATTCTGCCCGGAGTCGGAGTCGGAGTCGCAGCTGGTTTTTGAAAGCCGGAGTCGGAGTCGGAGTCACCGAAAATCCATCGACTCCGCAGCCCTGCGACTCCTACTCCGGGCAGAACTGTCTATTCTGACCGATTCCGACTCAGACTCCGGGCAGCCCTGCAGCTCCGCAGTCTGCGGAACCGATGAATTTTTGGTGACTTCGACTCTGACTCCGGCTCCGGCTTCCAAAAACGACTCCGACTCCGATTCCGGCTCCAGTTCGACTCCGATCAAAGTCCGGTCCCAACTCCATAACCCTGCGCCCTGGGACCCATACAAGCCTCGCTGGTTTCGGCCCGCTTTTCCTGGACGTGACCTTATATCACTATTACTCACTTTAAAATGCGACATATTTTCAATTTCTAGTGCGAAAAGTGCTCGCGATAGCTTTTTGGGCGTTATAACACGAAAAAATGCCACCGGAAAGTTCGTAGTAATGCTCTATACATAGGCCGGCCGCGGCGGGAGCACCCCAGTGACGTCATCCGGGGCCGGTAGGGGGAACGTAAAAAATTCCCTAATGAACCTACCTGGTATATAGGGCCTTGGTTTCGCTGCTCATCATTTCTATTTGCTTGCTGTTAAGATATTGCAACAATTTTTAGATAAAATTATTGAAGTAACGGCCTAGTGATAGCTCCGCTGTTGTTTCTAAGACATTGGAATAATGCAATTGAAATGCAGCTCGTAAAGTTTAAACTTTGGGTACATGTACCCGGCCAGCTCAAGCTATAGCCTTATTTGCTGCTTTTTACGAGCACGATAACAAAAGGAATTACTCAAAATATTGAAGAAACCCGTCTACATCTCAAAACCATAGCATATCAAGAAAAAGGCTTTCAGTTCAGAAGTCAGATTGAGACGCATGAAGACAGCATGCTCCGTAGCTGCATGTGTCAGACAGAAAGTGGTAAAATATGCATTGTGAGTGCTGTGCTGATAATTTTTTGACAAGTTTACGGTTTTTAATTGTTTTAAATATTTATTTAGAAATCATGAAGGATGATTGTGAGACGTCCGGACGGGGTGAACACTGAAACATCCATATTATATCATATATAGATAGGTTTGGCATTGGTATGATTGGGCCCAGATGCTAAAATCGCCTCCACGATCTCGTATGGATTTGAAAAATAAGACCATATAATGAATAAACATGTTTATTTTTATGGATTTGAGTATCCCTGGAAAATACATGTTTTTAAATAATCACTATGCGTATAATCGTCGCTCTAAGAAGTCAAGGGTATTATATGAAGAATTGTTTACTTTAAAAAAATAATAGTGTCAAATATTGCATAGTAACATCCTCCCAACGACCTATCCCTTTCACAACACCCGTCATTCACGGCACTAAAAGGTGGCGTGAATGGATCGGCCACCGACAGCGCAAACAGCTGATTATTTGCGTTTGTTCTGCCGCTCTCGCGGCAGCTTGTGCCACTGCCCATGTTAAAGCACTGCCAAAATGCCGTGGATAAACATCGACTGCATGCCGTGAATGAGATGGCGTGAATAGCTATCCACGGCATTGGTAATATGCCGTTGCCGTGAATGGGCTCCATTCACGGCATTTCGCCTATTCACGGCATTGGTAAGATTGGGCCCTGCAGCCGGCGGCCAAGGATCGGCGCATTGTCGCCTCGCTGAAGGCCAACCTGCGCCTTCGTGTAGAAGGAGAGAAGTTTGCAGGGAAGATCGGCGACGACCACTATATGGCGATGGTCCTGCACCCAAGGTACCGGCGCCTCCAACAGATGTCCTGGCTTACCGAAGAGCACCGTTCAAGGATCCAGGCTGGTAAAAGAGAAGGCGACGGAAGCGTGCCTGAGACGACTTCAGGAACTGCCGGTGGAGAAGCCGAGTGAGCTGACGACAACGCCGTCGACATCTGGAAGAGAAGAGACGACGGATGGCGCCTTCAGCCTGGCACTGGAAGCCATGTCAGACGACGATGCCGACAACATAGGCGCAGCAAGTGAGGATCAGCCAGAGATGCGCGCCAAAGCAGCCGCGCAACACGAACTTCAGACGTATATGGACGATAAGGGAGGCCGAGACGTCTCGTCTGGTGCGGACTTACTGCAATACTGGCAGCGCAACGAGATACGGCTTCCCGGCCTCGCGGATCTAGCCAGACAAGTCCACTCGACTCCGGCAAGCAGCGCCGAGGCAGAGCGCACCTTCTCTGAGGCCGGGAGGATCGTCGAGAAGCGCCGGACACGACTCCTCTCGAGCCGCATCGACGATCTGCTTCTGATAAGGGATAACAGGGATCTGCTGCCGTAGAGTCCTGCTCGCACAACCCGCCACTAGCCTGGTGTTTTAGTTATAATTGAGCTGGAGTGCAGTGTGCACTTGCACATACTGTGAAATGAAGGTGATTGATGAAGGCTGTGAATTGCTTTCTTTGTACGTTTTAGGATTATATTGTTTTCTGTTGTGCTTTATGTTTGCCTGTTCCTGTCTGCTGCAGAGACTGACCATTTGTGCTTACATGGCATGGGTATGGTTAACACGCGCAGTGGAAGGGGGGGGCGGATTTCGCCCACCCCTCCTGTTTTTCGCCAATAACTCGCGTCGCAAGCATAATATCAATGTGAAATTTCGGCTACCTGTCCAGAATTGAATTGCGGATCTTCTCGTGCAAGAAGTAAGAAAATCGGTTCACAACTTTTCTAGTAATAGCGGTGTAAAGTCAAACATCCTGCCGCCGCGGCGGCGCGGCGGCGCGGCGGCCGGCGCTAGCCGTTACGCGCCGCCTGAATTGTAGACTGTGCCGGGGCGGGACGGTTCCGTCTTTACATCGTGCTCCTTACCGCTAATTACATTAGATTCGCGTCAAATTCGGTGAGAAGACTGAGAAATGTACAGGCAATCATATGGTTCAAGAATTTTGAAAATCGGCCGGTAAAAAGTTGAGTTATGAGTGTGTAAACACAAAATTGTGATTGCCGCGTTTCCCGCGTCGGCCGATGCCGCTTCAGCCGGCGACATCTTACCCTTAGTAGGCTTCTAACTGCCATATTTATTGTTGGATTATCTAGAAATTCACCATACATACTCACAAATGTTTGTTCTTTCGTATAGTGAAAGATTTTAAAAAATCGGCCGGTAACTTTTTGAGTTATCGGCGTGTAAACGCAAAAAAGTCGCTAATATGGCAGATTTGACCACATTTGACCTCATTTGACCTTGAAGATATTGACCTACTATGCATTTCAGACCCCATGAGACCCTGTTTTTCGGCGATAATTTCTTCAATTTTTGTCCAATTAGCTTGAAATTTTGGCAGACGATGTTTCAGCTCAAGCGCCAATTTTTGTCAATATGGTCTCTTAACAAAATATCAAAATTTAGAGCACTTGTCGTTGGCTCGTAATGTTAATCAGTTTTTGCACCCGGATAGAGGCTCGCTCGCTACCGCACCGGATTGGATAGGAGCGCTGGCCAATCACGTTACGCCGTGCTCAACTTGACTCCACCCACTGGCCGTGACCGCGATGGGTCTATGCCGCTTCAGTCGGTGTCAGCACCGCGGAGAGGTCGCAGCGGGACCGCATGCCTACTGGAGACAAGCGAAGCTGGCAAAGTTGTTTCGGGACGAAAGCCAAAAATTATCCGTTCGAGGGCATTTGATGTCCTCTTTTCCTTATCTTAGCATTTAAACGTCGAACCAGCTCAGAATATTCAGAATGATCAGAATCAAGGTAGGATCTATTGGAACGGAACCGGCCGTAGAAGGAAAGATAGCTGAACTCTTGGACTCTGAACATTTATTTAAGCCGGGGTTGCACCTATCTCATCGTCAGGTTGGGTCAGATCACTACGCGATTACCTATAAGATCATGCGTAAGCCTCTGCATGGCCCAAACATATTGATATATTTGGCAGCGTCAATAAATGTTTCTGAGGAAGGCGCAGAAAGCAACAAAGTAGGATGAAGACTGAAGAGTTTCGGACACGGCCGATTGACTGGGGCATCGCTCCAGCGAGACGACCGTATTCGTGATTCGTGAAGCGGTGCGGGGCGCCGGGTGGGGCAGAAGCGTAATGTGTCGTATGGTAGAATGTCATGTGTGTGTTATATTGTTAAGACGTTCACAGAAAGAAATAGGAATGTGGCAGGCGGACGTTGTGCACTACACGAGAACGATCACAAGAAACACGAATCTTTTTGTAAAACTTATGTAACAGTAGGTATGTCCGCAATGGTGAGGTAACTATCTCTAGGCTTTTACTTTTCATGTTTGCATTTCAACACACAAGATCTGGGGGTAAAGTTAGTCCGGCGACCTCCTCAACCGTCGATGATAAAATGGATTAGTCCTGAAGGTGTTCAATGCTTATGCTGCACCGGGATGATATAAATCGATCACGTTGGCATACATTCCTAATCAAATTTAATATATCAAACACATTTACTGCATCCTATTAATGGTGATTCCATTTTGCAATTTGGACGTAGTCTGACGCGATACATAATTTTACGCAAGCATTTGAAATCAGCGGCGTCTTTTATGAGCGTTTTTTCACAAGCCCCGAATCTTGTGTGGAAATAGATATTTTTTTGTGACTGAACAAGGTGTACGTACATTTGTGATAAATACAAAGTCGAGGGCTTCAGCTAGTGCGTTACTTATGCGCGCCATTTAGCTCATTCGATGAAGTTATGGCTGCAACGACAACTGCACGGCAGCTACGTTCCATGCGAGCCGCCCCGGTGCGACAGCTACTGCCCCGCCCGCTCCACGCAGCCGACTGACCGGCCAAGGTCACTACCCCGTCCGCCGGGAGGGCGGAGCTTAATGGTCACGTGTTTGTGACGTCACGCCTACGTACGGATAGCCTCTACTCCACTGACGGATTTACGGAGCCGATTTTAACATTACGAGGCAACGACAAGTGCTCTAAATTTAGATATTTTGTTAAAAGATCATATTGACAAAAATTGGCGCTTGAGCTGAAACATCGTTTGCCAAAATTTCAAGCTAATTGGACAAAAATTGAAGAAATTATCGCCGAAAAACAGGGTCTCATGGGGTCTGAAATGCATAGTAGGGTCATGAAATTCACACACAACAGAGTTCCCTACGGCCCCCACCTACCCTCCAAATTTCGTCTTTCTAGCTCCACTGGGAGCTGAGATCTTAGGGGGGGCGACATCCGCCCCCCCCTTCCACTGGGCGTAGTACTCGCAACCCTTCCACTGCGCGTGTTAACGTCTAATGAGTCGCGCCGAATACAAGAGCAGTGACTACAGCTTTTCCTGTTTGATCACAACTTCCGCGAGAACAGTCAAACAAAGCATAAAATACATGTGCATTGATTCGAAGACAAAATACTTATATCACACAGCTAAACAGAATATCACTGCATCCACGGCAGCAGCATATTTGGAGAGCTGCGATTGGATCTACAAATATGCTGCTAGATTGACTGACGTTACATGTTTTTGTAACAAAGCATAATAGATCTTGTACCCAATTTTATAAAACGCACTTTGCTGCAAAATGTAATGAAATCAAATGGATGGTTTGATTATGGATAAATCAAATAATTTCTTTTTCTATGAAATAGAATACAATTTGATGTATCAAATATATTAAGAATACATCAAAGTCATCTCATTCTGGAGTAAATTGTTATTTGTTTTAGTACTAAGTGAGTTTTTTTGGCATCTAGTTAACATTACAACTGTGGCGCACTTCCTTGAAAGCGAATGCATGTCCTCGCGCGTGTTGTGTGTGGGTTGTGCAGCTGAAGTTGGGTTGGACAGACAGAAGATGTAAATGTGCTGAGTGCTTGTTGCATTTCTAAGTGCTAAGCGTCTACAACATTGTTCAAATACAATGAATAATTATTTATCAAAAATAGACTGCCTCAAATAAGAAACAATCTACATCCTGGTAGCTGGTTGATCTTTCCTGGAGGCTGGTGAGTCAAGCAAAGTGTATCATGTACCTAACTAGTAACCTTTTTGGCTTGCAGTGTAGAGCTGCAAATATTAATTAAAGTAGTAACTTGCCCATAATTACCAACCTTTAATAAACCCATGAGCTATATATGCATATAAAGCATTTTCAACCTACACTGAAAAAAGTTTTTACCATCAATTTACTAAGTTACTAGCTTTGGTAAATTTTACCATCAGCCTACCATCATATTACTACCAGCCTACTATGGTGCTGAATACTATCCTGCCTTGACATGTTGATATTACCATGGTTACGTTTATCAGGGGTGGTTTTGTACCCCAGTTTACAAGGTGGTAACCACCTGAGGCTAGTAGATACCCTCGTAAGCTAATATTCCCTACCATAGTAAAATCAACCTTTCCACGGGCGGATCCAGCAGGTGAATTCGGCGATCAAGTCTCCTCCTTTCCATAGAGGTGTTTGCCAATTTTTGATATGTTGGAAGGAGCGTCATCCAAGGACTAGCTGAGACCCTGAGCAATTAATAGTTTTATGGACGAAAGGCCAGAAATTTCTTGCAACAGTTCCCTGGGTGTGCTTCTGCTGCTATGGTAAGGTATACCATGGCAACACCATGACAACACTACACCCTTACTAACAATCCACGTGCGTCTGACTCTGCTGCAGCGGCGCCGCCATGTCAGTTCCGGCCGCGCGCCGGCGTTGTGAAGGTGCTCCGTGGTTTTAAATATTTGAACGGTGATTGTGTGGGTGGTTAGCGTAGCTGACGGTGGAGGATACTCGGAAATAACAAGTAAGTCGTTGTATCTTCAGCATAATAATACTTATCTCACGAGTGCCATTTCCAGCAAAGATCGCAGCCTTTGTTTCGGTTCATGTTGTTGAATTTCCTTGAGACCCTGTTGGACCGGGTAGGGGGAGGGTGGTGGGGTGGGTATCATTGCGGGCATTTCCCAGCGTCGGAAATCAACGTGTTTTTTTATTTGTTAACCCACGCCTCACTGGGGTATGTGCTCTAACGCGCCCCACAGCACGTTACAGCACGTTACAGTGGGGGGGGGGGGGGGGCTCCTAACTCCGAAACTACTGGGCCGATTGTCAAAATTCAAACGGCCCCTGGTAGCCCTGGAAATATTGTTGAGCGAAGCCTAATGTCATTGACCTCGAGGTCATCGATGACGTCACAGGTCAGGTCAAAGTAAAAATATCAGCGTCTTGGCACTCTGGGCGCCGGCCAACAAATCAGATCAGGCTCATTTTTTGTTTGCACACTCGTGAATATATGCGTAACATAACCTGAGGGTACCGAACTTGTACTTCGAATTTTTCAGGTCAAGGCCATCTCATCCCAGGTCACGAAAGCTTTATATCGTGCATCGGTGACGTGAGACATGTTTTATGGTTCATGTAGGCCATATATATCGAAATCAGTGTTGTATGTGTCAGTTTAGGCCATTTTAGCTGAATATAGCTGAGGTC